GAATTTTAGAACACGGCCTCCTTAGACAACTCTGATTTAGAATTCTACAATATGGCGATTGCAATATTCACCAATCAGTTTCTTCTAATCAAATAAAGAGTTGCAATTGCATTTAGAAAACCAACCAATGAAAGTGAAGCAGCTTCACTTACTTTACTTCTGTATATACCTGCGCACAACCAACATGGTGATCGTTTAACATTCAGATCAAAAGTGCCGACACAAAGTGAGTCTACTGTTCTTGCTTATACTGTGCTAATGACGTGCACAGCCCTTTTATCGTATCGCGATCGCGCCTCGCGTGTGATCGCGGAACACGAAAGACACGAAGAAGTAAAAATAAAAAAAAGTCCGCACTTCGGGTCTCTTTCTCCCTCTTTTTCTCTCTTTCTGGATGAACGCCAAATAGTTCGCGAATCGACCTTAGCCCACTTTACGCATTCCAGTGCGCAATCTTTCCCCGATTGTTCCCCGTATGATTATCGGATTATCACGCGGAATTTCTTGATCCGTCGGCATTCCGTTCAGGCTGACATTCGTGAGTGCCTTAGAATATTTGATAAAAGAGAAACACTAGATATATCGTAAGTCAGATGAAAGTTCGCGTCGATGTAAACCGAGATATTGCTGATGTGTACGCAGAAATAATATTAATACATTGCTCGAAAATGGGGGATTAATACCAAAGGATACATTTCTCTCGCATTAAACGAATCGCGTTTCGAGATATAATGGGGCGATTGCGCAGGGGCGGGTGATCGTACTTCACGAAGGCAATTTCCTTTAATAAGCAAATAGAAAAAAGGACAAGTTTAACGCGGCTACCCCGGGAATATGTCGGAGAAATAAAATTTCTCCCCTTAAAAAGAGAATGCCCGGCGTCCACCCCTTTCAAGAGGGAGCCCGTTTAAACGCGGCGCCCGAGTCTTTACGCAACGCGTAGACGCGCGGCGTGCACGGCGATCCTGCGGGCGATCGCTATTAATTGCTTTAATTGCAGAGATAATTAATACGCGCCCTTTATAATAAAAACACTCTAAGGGCCGATCTGCGTATAATGGGCCGCGGCGCAGAGATTCCGAATGAGACTTTTATTTGCCGCCGGACGTATGAAGCACACTCCCCCCCCCCCCCCTCAAGTAACTCTTGCATCGCCTTTACGGTGCGGCGCGGCCTCTATCCGGATGAGTATTAATTGCTGTGTAATTGCGAGGATAATTGATATTCCGTTTCATTGGAAACGGCACCGGAGGACTCGAGACTGGAGCGAGGCGGGACGCAATGTGCCTTTCACATTGAAATTTTAACCCGATTTGAAAAAAATAACCGAGGCTCTTTTCAGCACTCTTTAAGATATAATGAGTTCAGAAGACTCAAGGTCGAATCAAATTTTGATTGCTGATGAAAGGAAATTTATAAAGTCAAATATATAGAATAGGTGAAAAAATTATTTCTAGCTTCTATTTCTAATTGATGAAGAAGCTGCAGCCACTGGCGACCAAATAATGTGAACACTGGAGAAATATACTATCTACTTGTTTCATTAATAAGAAATTGGCTATCACTTATATATCTTTAATATACAGATTTTATCCTTGCTGGAATAATGTCATACATGCTTAAATAATATAGCAACTACTACAGTATATAATGGCATAATGTTCCTCTACAGAACATCTTTCAGTTATTTAAGATATTTGAAGAGAAAATCTGTTTCTCATTCCGCTCTTCAAAAATCTATAAATGATATTTAAATCAGACGAGTACATTGGTCAAGAAAAGCATTGAAGTTCGAAGTATGGAGAACAATTTTAGAAAATAGAGTGAGAAGAAAATTTTTTCTTTTAATACATTTATATAAGTAATTGAAATATGTTCTACTAAAGAATAACACGATATTCTATTGGTAACTCTTTAAACATTGTATGATTATCAAACAAGGTTAGAATATATATTAAAAGCAAATGATGAAGCAACCTCTTTTATTAATAAATAAATAATAAAATATTTCCTAGTTATACACATTATTTTGCCTATTCCTTGTATTGTCGAATCATTTTTGTTACACATCACATCGATTATATAGCTATGGATAAGGATTCGAATTCAAATTTTGATCACTGATAAAGACACTTAGGATCAAACATAGAGAAGATCATAGAATAGTAAAAAAAAAACATTTCTAGTCTCCATTTCTAATTGACGATAAATTTGTTTCTCCCCTTCTTTTTCTCTTATTCTTTTCTCGAATAATTTTTGTTACTCCTGTTATCGATTTATACAGCAATAGACATGAAAAAATTACTGAAATTCAATAATATTGCAAAGTCGAATTAAGATTTTAATCGCTAATAAAAATACATTTAAAGACGAAATATTTAGATTATAGAATGGATGAAAAAACAATTTCTAATTTTTATTTCCGATCGACGACAAATTGCAGTTATTTTTCTCGCTTTTTCTCTCGTTCTCTCTTCCGGATAATTTTTGTTACACCTCTTATCGATTATAGGACAGGATTATATGGACAACTATGGACTGGAGGAAGGAGTTACTGAAATTTAATAATAAAATTTTCACAGATACACGCGTACCTGTTCCAGCTAACCGGCACGAATTCCGGTCAGATAGCCGCGAGTCCCGGGAGGATTAAATAATTCCAAATTCAAGGGTCACGCTGACCAAGCCGCGCGCTTTCAGGCCGCGTTAAATATCCCCGAAATTAATTAATAATTTAATTCGCGGTGACGCGAGGGGGATCGACGGCCGGGGGAGGTTTCGATTTTCAAACGACGACGGTGGCGGCCGCCGTCGCCGCGCCGAGCGTGCGACAGGCGTACTTTAATTAACTCGGTGGACGTTAATTTCGCTTAACTCGCACCGGAATACGCCGGACTTCGTTTAAGGCACACCAGCCGTCGCTATTGATACGCGCATATCCGCGGCCGGCACTTCACGGGGCTCTACATGTATGCGGCGCGCCCGCGGCCGCAAAACATGAAGGCGGTGCCCGTCGCGCCGCGTCGCGCATAGAACGGCGGCATCAATTGTTGGAAATGCGGGACACTATCGCGACGAGGCATCGTGATTATTCCTTGACAGCCACTGTGCCGCGCACACGGCCTCGTGTATGTTTCAAGCTTCGCGTGAACGTACGTACGCGTATACATACGTCACGTCATCGCCGCCTGCCTGCCTACCAGCCTGCCTAGCTGGCTGGTCGAGGGAGAAAGGCCCTTCGAAAGTGACGGCAAGAAAATCGTGTAGGTATCTCTTTTTCCTCGACATACAAGATGCCAAACGTAATTTTACGCAGTCCTGCGATTTTTCTGATTTGTGGAAATTCCATCCAAAGTGCGATTTTGGGTTCAAATTAATTCGTTGAAATTTGCTTAATCCGTTTGTTCAAATATATGTTCTTTCTTTAAAAACGTGTGTTACTCGTATTTTTTGACGAAATGAAACAGTTCTAGATTTTTATCTGTACAAGAAAGACGATTTTGCTGAAGTCTAAAAATTTAGCTCTATAGATTTGAATATAATTTTGTTGGATCATTAAAATAATTATGTAGGACGCTCAAACTGATTCGTACAATGTTAAAACTTTGTGAAATATTGCTCATCATGTTCGATATTTTCACGTAATTATTTAAAAAAATTATTTCAAAAATTCATTCAATAAAAAGTAAACATACTACATTTTTTAAGTATTGAAGATAAAATGATAAAGTTTTCATTTAAACTAAAATTGTATTGTTAAATATAAATATTGACTTTATTGAACTACTTATACATTTATTTTATTTTGGTACGGAAAGTATAAATTTCTAATTCCAGTCACTTTGCAGAAACTATACATCTAATATGTCCTTAATCAGTTTATCTATTTTCGAAAAAAAGTCTATCTATTATAATACTCTCTGAATGTTTCTTTAGGTATTACGCATTCATGCAACGTAAATTAATTATTTGCGTATATAACAAATTTTTGCTTTTTTTTCTGTGAAATACGACCTAAAGAAATATTCCAAAAATTATTTACGACATGTTTAACGATAATCCACCACATGTTCGGTAGTATATTGGTGAACGATAAACAGTTCCCTGTGGTAAATGGGCTACCACGTTTTCTTCCCACGCGATGTTTCTTACCCAACACGGCGCGATCAATAACGTGACTCTACTGAGGTAGAGTGTATCGATTGCCGGAGTAACAATTATTGCTAGCCAATACTTTCACGTATTCAGTGGTACACAGTCGAAATTAGCACACAGGGACTTCAGCGAGTACTGATATACCCTGGAATCTACATCTGAATGTATTATTTCATAGAGACGAATAGATTAATTCAACAGTGATTGACCAATAGAATATCTTACTATCTTCACTATATAATGCAGACATATCGTATAAAATACGATAATACATTAAAATCATTAAGCGATATTAACATAATTTTATTGAATTTCATTCTTCTTACATATTTTATACATTTTCTAGAAATTTCGTTCCATTCGCAAACTGCAGAAATGTATAAATCAAACGAGGAAATGTATAAATCCAATATATAGTATATCGTTCTTAAGTAACTGCATTATGCCACTATCAGATATATTTTGCCGATTGTTTAAAGCTAAATTACAATTTTTTACTCATCGATAATCGAGCAAAATGATGAAGTATTGTATAATATAAAGCTTTGATCCCATCCGTTGTAATAATAAAGATTCAACAGTGAGCTCAGCACATCCTCCTCAATGTACATAAAATAAAAAAATATCAAAAGCAACAATTATCCATTGTAATTAAATCCCGCGTATTGCATGAACAGTTGAATTATAAATCAAGTAAATTTTTACAAGTAAACAAGCGAGAATTGTAAAAAAAAAAAAAACTAAATAACAGTATATGGAATGCAAGTGAAGCTAAAAATAATTCGTACCAAAACAAAAGATCTTAATAAATGCAGAATATATACAGATTTTTTTTTTCTTCGCAGGAGACCAAGAGGCCGTCGAAGGAGATGCAGGTGACAATCGCGAGGCAATTGGGCCTGGAACCGACGACGGTCGGGAACTTCTTCATGAACGCCCGACGCCGCTCCATGGATAAATGGAAGGACGAGGATCCGAAGGCAGTCGCGGTCGAGGAGGAACAGTTGTCGCCCACGATAGGGATCGGCCAACGCCAACCGAGCGACGTTTTGTGACACACGTCCGACCACGAGGAGTACCACGACGAGTCACCCGACGAGGACCTGCCCTTCTCGTAAGGGCAGTGTATCACCTCGTGGACGTATCCCTGCTGACACGCTCGAATTTTATAGACGATCTCTCTCGACGCGCCTCGCAAATTTTATACTGGTCTTCATAAATCATTTTTATCTCTCTAACATTTTTGGTATATTGCCGATAATTGGCTATTTAAAACTAACCGAACAAAAATCTCCAGAATTATCTTATTTATTTGGTGAATAAATAAACGAGAGACTTTATTAAGCTTTTTGATATTTGGCCGTTGATAAACAATCAACTTGGAGGAAAATAAAATTTAAACTCGGAGAATGTTAAATATTTAGACGTCCTTTGTAAAAATACTTGAGGAAATATAATTTTTGACGTTTGGCCATTGATAAACGATCCATTTGAAACAAAGCAAAATTTAAATTTGAAGAATTTTAAATATTTACCCATAGATTTCAAAAAGATGACGTAAAGATGTTTCAGAGAATATTCTCGAAACGTTTCCAGAATAAAGTATGCTGTATGAATACACGTCCTTCGCAAACACGAGAGATTGTAATTTTGGTCATTGATAAACAATCAACTTGGAGCAAAGCCAAATTTAAACTCGAATAATTTTAAATATCTACACAGATCTCTGAAGGATATCTTAAAGATATTAAGAGAATATTCTCGGAACGTTCCCACAACATCTTTCGAATAAAGGGTGCTAACACCTGAGATTAATTTACGTGAAATTAGAAAAATCTAATTCTAATATCACCCGTTTTGCTGTACATGTTGAGCGTGTCGATCGTCTTTAAAGATCGAAATGTGTCGAGCAGGAGCGTCCTAACCGCTGAATGCGATCGATCATTACGACTCCCGCAAAGCGATCCGGATCAGATCTACCAAAGTACGATCTTACGTTTCTTTTTTTTTTAGGCTAGTGCGTTCCTAAGTATTTACGATCGACAGATCGTTCCACGTTGAAGCTCCTAAATCAACGTTCGAAGTCGAGAAACGAGACGAATCGATGTCTGAGTAATTGAGCTGGAGGATGTGTCGATTACAACATGCAATAATTTCTACTTAATTTTTCACACGAGAGTTCTCCGTATATTTATATATTTATTATTCTCACACACACAATTTGTCTCTCACATTAAGCGGACCGTCTTTCGCGACGAGCTGTTGAACTTAGTTTTAAGACTCGCATTTTAACGACTCGTCGCGTATCTCGACTTCGGTCACTTCGCAAACTTCGTGCCATAGTTTGCCATATTAGCGTAAGTTAATCCGTTAAACTCGGCGCTTCGTGCCCGATTCTTAGCGTTCTAGTCCACTGTAATAAGTTCCAAGAGAGACCGCCTTGCCCCGTCAGACTGGGAACCGAGGCGGTTTCTCTCCTCTAGTCAAAATTCAGAAGCTCGAATTCTGAATCCACACCCTTCGACGCTGGAAATGCGAGGGTGGTCGAAAGCGCCCGTGTTTTTTTCTTTATTTTCTTCTTCCTTTCGCGTAGGTCGCGCGCGGCTCAAGTTGAGTTTATACGCCGCCCAAAACGGGGTGTTTAGTTTTCTAGCCTGTTACTTTGTTTTTCTTTCTCTTTTTAAGAGTAGAATCGGTCGCTGCTTTAAGTGGAGTATCGCGCGAGGGTGAATGTCGAGTAAAACTGCACGAAAGGGCGCTCTGACAATCGCGGGCGAGTAAATACTTAGAAAAGCTCGTTTTCCACTTTTTCTTAATCCTCGAGACTAGCCCTGCCCCTTACCGCACGGTGAAGTGCAAAAGTTCGGAGGGTCTCCGGATGCCTGATCGAGATACGTCACGAGTTAAAGCAGCGACTTGCCACCAACGATTGAATCCTACTGCGTGCGTTAACGCTTTTATTTGAGATTAAGTACATTTTATATCGTTCACTGGTTCATAAATGACTGGCGATTTCCGATACTACACGGGGTGTACTTAAAGTCACGTGCTTCCTCTCGCGGACTTCTCGAAACGCACTCGAGTTAGCCTCTTCCTCAATTTCAAGCAGAACACCATCAAAATAATATCAAAAGAACTCCAAAACGATTACTAAAAGTCAATCAGTTGTCATGACATCACTATGACATCGATATGACTCCAAAACGGCCATTAAAAGTCACTTTTTCAGTAACAATTCATTTTAACGTCATTTTGACATCATCGTGACTTGTTGTTCTGCTTTAATGGTTCGAATCGAAACCTTCAACATCGGACATATTATCGATAATTCAATTTAAAATTGTGAAACCATATTTCTATCTCAGTTTATTAGAGGTGGATCGAGCGTAGGGCGGTCAAGAGGAAGAACGTGACTTTCTTACGCACTCCGCACGCACGTATCATTAAAAGCAAATCGAATTCCCTTGAAGGATCGAAAGGCGTTTTTAAGTAACAGTTATAGCGGTGAGGTTCGATGATGATCGCGCAATCAGCGGCGCGCTAAATGCGCAACCGGGCTCGTCGTGTCCTCGTTGGTCAGACGAAACGTGAACCAATTTTCAAAGTGGCTTCGTGTGAGGGTACACGTGCCAAGTGATATATATATGTATGTATAAACATGTATATCAGAGAGTGGACACTCTTTTGTGCGAACCGATGGCGGGAGGGAGGTTTAGTGGGGAAAGGAAAGAACAGAGCGGTATAGCTAGAGAGAGAGAGAGAGAGAGAGAGAGCAATTTTTAAAATGGGTGGCTGCACCGCTGTGTACGAGAGACAGAGACAGAAAGAATGAGTGAGAGCCTGTGAGAAAGAGAAAGCAGCGAGAAAAAGAGCGAGAGAGAGAGACTTTAGCGAACCGCACTCGATATCGCACTGCAATTGTGCTGTGCTATTGTACATACTTAAAAAAAAAAGAAGAAAAATAACACACACGTACGTATGCAGAGATAGACATACAAACACGTACACACTTTTATTACGTAAGCGGCGGGGCGGCGTTCGCTAAGCCGGGCGAGAACGAATCGGTGTGACGTTTGATTGCAGAAAAGTGCATTCTAGCCGACTTGCACTTCGCGTCTGTGGCTCCTGCGTAGCGAGAATTCTTTTGTGCTTCAACACACAAACACATAACACACGCATCCACACGCACACATACACACGCATACATACACATACACGTAATATCGACACGACGTTGCGAGATGTGGCGAGCGATCGGTTCTACAAGATTTCGTTAGAACGACATTTCATATCATGCTCTTCTACTTTTTTGTGCGATCGGGAGAGGATCATTTATGCTAGTCGGATTAATCATACAGAATGAATCGCGAGCAAATACCGAGATTCAATCAAGAATTGACAAAGCGATCCAGGAGTATCGAGGGATGAGCTGATTACGAAAATTAATTTACTACACGTGCTTTATTCGATTCCATGATGATTAAAAGTTTTTTTTTACAATTTCTTCGGACGCTTGTAATCCAAAGACCATAGAAAAAAACTTATATCATTAAGAAAAAAGAATGGATGAAATATAGGTAAAGTGGCTGTCACAAGCGGCTGTCACTTTCCAATCAATGTAATAATTTTATCACATATATTACTCCGATAAACAATCTGTACAAATAAAAACTTAGTATTTATAAATATTTGATACAGTGTGTCTAGTATTTTGAAATATTGTGTTTTTAAGTTGATGGTAAAATAAGAATGAACAAGAATTTTATCACCGTATAATATAAACTGAAAAATAGATTGATCGAAATTATTAGAAAATTACATTGGCCAGAAACTTTTGGCAGCCACTGTATTTTGATTATTTCTTATTGCGAGCGTTCAAACAGAACTAATAAATACATAAAGTATATGCATTTGCAACGACAAATTGATAAAAATTATTTTAAAAAGCGACGGACTCGATACACTAAGATCGATTTTCTCGAGAAGCACTAAAAATTGCTCGATCGCTGTTGTGTGAGTTCATAGGGTATGCGATCATTCGTCTCGCGAGTAGAACGTCTCCTTCTCGCACGTGAATGCCCGTTCGATGTTCGTTCGGCAAAGACCCACATGTTATTTAATTTATTATATTTTAGGGTAGAACGGATGCATTTGGAAATGGCTTTCAAAAGCTGCAGCAGTTACGTCATCGAGAGAAAGAGAGAGAGAGAGAGAGAGTGTATGTGTGTGTGTGTAATTTATTGTGTAATATTTTGTAAAGTTATATCGAATCCCCTTAGTGTGCATGGCGACTCGAGGTATGTTACCGCTTTCGTGCAACAGCAGCAACAACAGCAACAATCTCCTCTCTAAGGAATCCGAGTTACACACCGATACACGTTTCCCCCCTTAACGTTGCACGTTAATTAGCATCTCGACGCTACTCTGATTATTTATTATTAATTTATCACATACGACGTCTCAAATAAACAGTCATTCAAAGCGAGCATCACAATTCTGAGACTTGTTTGGAGACTTGAGTGCTCCGTGCTTTGGATTTGAAAACCCAATGGCGAATCGGCAGTCGGCTCGACGCGGCAAAGGAAAAGGCTCGCATCCGCCTTGAAAGGAGCCTGCTCGGGCGAAGGGATGCGAGCGTCCCTTTCGACGCGAAGAATTAATCCACGGTACCAAGAGAGACGCGAGCGGCCTCCTCGGTCGTCGGTTTAAGATCATATATAGTACAAAGTAAACATATATATATATTATTGTAATAACAGTGTTTAATTATACATAAGATAATAAGATATATAAGAAAAGTGCGTGCGCGCGCTCGCATCGCGCTGTTTTTCGAGGGAAAATGTTCAAAGGACTCTGTGTTAAACCGTGGAACGGAGAGATAGGGAGAGAAAAACGCGGGGGTCAACGAGGACGTCGATTCTCTTTCGTGAGAATTGCATCCTCGTTGAAGACGATTCGGTTAGGGATGATTCACATTGTCAGGCGCGACGAACGTGACAAGGTGCGAGAATTCCGATCCGACAGAATTTACCTCGCCGTCAAGAGCGAGACGCGTCTTTCGTGTTCCTTCACCATGGTTCCGGCAATTTAGTGTATTCGCGATTAATGAGTCAATTGACGGAAGTAACCCAGTAGACACCGACTGAAAGTAACCTGCGTCATTCT